AACAAAATACAGGCATCGGTTATTTTCCCGATAAAAAAGCAAGAGATACGCATGGGTAAAAATGATTTTTATAAATACCGACGTTGGTTTTTATATCGACAGCTGTGTCAAATTATATTGGATATTGTACCAAATGGCATACCCCACCTGTCGTTTTCGTACAATAAATATCAAGAAATCGAAGTAAAACTCCAGAAATCCTCTGAATTCATGCTTTCTGAGGCCCTAATTGACTGCAGAGGGACCCCCTGCGCCATCTGTGACTTCCAGGTCAATTAAATTTTCCCTCCGAGACCTCGTATTCCCATCGTTTTAGCATAGAAGCGCTTACAACACTTTTTTTGCCTTCATCCCGTTCAAATGCGAGTTTATCGATTACCAGAGTGTTCTAAATTGTCATAAAATTGTCCTGACCCTTTCGTTTCTCATATCAGAGCCTTCGATAATTGTATATTGATAGAAATCGAGAGCTCGACGCCATTTTGATTTTGGTCTGGGCGAAGTTAAAAAATGTTGTCCAAAAATCCAAATTTTGAATGTGTCAGGACAATTCTTAGATGATCAGGGATGTGTCAAAGTTTCGGACAGTTTGGTCTAATACCCTTAAAAAAAAGTGTTGTATTCGAATCGACTGATTTGAAGGGGGTTTCACTTCACCTTAAGCTATAGCTTCTACTCCTCGGAGGCGTTTACGAGACTGGAGTAGTTTCTTGACCTAAGCCCGTCACATGGTTCTTTCACTCTGTTATGATAATCGTGACTATATAAATATTTATATCGACTTCAGATTACGCCGCCTCGCTTGGTTGCTGGTCCTGTGCTCCCGGATCAGCCATTCATGGGACCCCACCACCTGTTCGATGATTGGTGAGGTTCCTTGATGAAGAGGAATCTTGAGAGCAACGCGGCCTCTGTTTCTCAATTTTTTTTGGGGCAAATCGGTGAAGGATAGAATGTTAAGGATCGTTTAACTTACGGTAATCCTCCAGGCTCCCGAAACGGTCCATCAACCATTTAGGACTCCTGTAACCCCATAAGCCGATCGAATGTTTAATTTTTTGCTACATTTAAGACAGGACTTTATTTCATGAAGTCGAGTCCGAAACAAGTCTCACTTAGGACTCCTGTAGCCAAATAAGCCTATCCTATGTTTGATTTTTGGCTACATTTAAGACAGGACTTTATTCGATGAAGTCGAGTCCGAAATGAGTCTCATTTAGAATTCCTGTAGCCTCATAAGCCCATTCTATGTTTAATTGTTTACTATATTTAAGACATTGCAAAACAATGCTGGCTTGTCCTGCGGCTAGCAAGTGTTATTAGAGTAAAAATTTAGTTGCAGCTAAACATCACAGATGGGGACGTTGGTCCTAAACAGTCGTTAGAATAATGAATTCCCGGGATTTCGACAGTTTTACGTCGATCTCTTCGTCATTACTTTACCGAAATGACATATGGAACCCTTTACGTCGTACAATTCTCAAAGCAGACTGTAAAAGACTTCAACATAAATATAAATGTCGGTAATGGGACGCGCCAGCTTATGTTCCCACTTGAGTATTCAAAATGATGTTCCCACCAAAAAGGGTATAAATCAATTTTACTTTATCGACGTCGATTACATTTCTTAGCACCTTTCATATCCTCTTAAAATTCGTTTCCCCGTGAGATTGCAGGAAGTCGAAGTGTAGTCCGGGGATCTTTCTAGTCACAGGCATCAAGCCTTATCAAGGTTCTCGGTCCGGTCACGAGATACTTCCATTGCTCATTTGTTAGTCACACACGCGCGGCCATATGTATTTGCCTCACGCATCTCGCGACGATAAACGCTCGCTCTCTCCAAAGTCAGGGAGAGAGAGCGAGAGAGAAGCAGTCGGTGACGCGGGGGCGCAAGAGAGAGGCAAGACGAATAAGTTCCGTGAACGTCGTATCCTCCGTCGATTGCCGACTGCATAGCAATGCCGAACGACGGCAACGCCGTTGGCCATTGTGCAGCGGAGTTCATGGGAAACAGCGTTAGTTCGTTCTTGCGCCACCAGGAGTGTCACATGTCTCTCCGATCGCCGGCTCGGATCTGCACGATGCCTAATGAATACTTGGCAGCGATCCGAATTAACAATTTCCTCCTCCAGCACACTCGAGGGTGCTTGCACATGCGACATACTGCACGTAGGCTGCATACGAGGCTACGTGAAGATATCCGAAGGTCGGGCAATGCAGATTCCTGCATTATTGGCACGGCCGAAGCGTAGGTCGTCCCGAGACGTAATTTGGATAATACTTGGGCCTTATGTGAGGTCGCATCCCTTGCATTACGTGTCATTAGCGATTTTTCTTTTTTTTTTCAGAAACGGACACAATGGCGACCGTGGCGCCGCACCCGAGGAAAGTTCGGAATCCAGGGCACCGGTGGGCGAGATAAGTTACACTTAGATGTTTTAGGAATGCAGTGTAGGATTGTAGCTGGTGTTGCGAAAGGTCACGATCACGATTAACGGTTTTAGGTAAATATTTAACCCTTTAATTACGACGGAGAAGACCTTAACATGATACGAAAAGCGCTGAGAAATTCGAAATCACCCTTGGAAATTTGAAATCTATGCATATATGTGCATTTACGTTTTTTATAACGGCTCATAACGGCTATTTGAAGTAAAATTCGTATCCAATATTTATATCAAAGTGTATAAAGGTGGAAGACCAAAAAGTAAATTATGGGATAATCTGTTATGACGAAATTCCACAAAGAAACTGGATAAACATATGTACTAAATTTATAACATATTTTTATAAAAACAGTGTTATAAAATGAGTACACCCAGCCTGGGTGTACTCATAAAACATGCAACAAAAATGGTATAAAATCAGCATATTCTGTTATCAGTCTATTTACATGAGAAAAGCTGGTTATCCTCTGGAACAAAGTGATAGTACGGGCGATATAAAAAGATATATATATATATATATTTTTCAATTTTTGCTTTTCGGAAGATGGTTATTTCTCGACACTGTACTGGAAGTAATCAACCACCGACTCGGCTGTATCGGCTGCAGCTGCACCCGACGCCCCCTCCAGAAGGGTCTCTACTTTATCGACCGAGCCCGATCGAACTCGTTTCCAAGGAATCATGGAACAGGGGGTGAAGTTGTCCGTATTCCGTGGTCGTCCGTAGTCGTGGGTTCGCGGCTCCCCGAGAAGGCGGAGGGTAGTCCGACCCCACAAGGTCGCGAGTGTCTCTCCTCTTTCCCGATGGAGGAGAGTCCAGAGTGCCTCTGCGAAGCAGGAGGGCCTGGCTCCAGGGGAAGCTCGAGTAGCCCAACTCCAAAGGGGAGGAAATAAGAGGGAGTCCAACTGGGTGATCGATCAGTGGTCGGTAAGTGCGAGTCGTGTGATACGAGCCCGGGGTCCTAGACGACCCTGCACGTCCCATCCGTGTTGCTATCCATCGAAATGGGTCAACCCGGAGCGACACCCTAACGTGGCACGATTCCTCCCCTTGGAAAACAGCCCCTGGCCCTCCACCCTCGCTCGCCCCAGGAGCTGTTCCATTTCGACTTGCCGTCAGGATCCAACGGTGCGTTTTCCGCTTTTGGAACCCTATCGATCCACCGTTGGGGCTCTTCTTTAATGAGAGACTCACTCCGCTGCACCGTCTGGACTACAGGAAACGCAAACCGGCACCGCCAGGCATCAGTTTAGTTACCAGCAAAATTGTGGTGGTTTTGGGCAGCGCTGAAGACGACCTTCTGGCCCGTCCGCTTCTCTTCTGTCGTTTGCTGCGCAAAGTGAGGGTTCTTAAATAATTGCCGTCGGGATCCAACGGTGCGTTTTCCGCTTTTGGAACCCTATCGATCCACTGTTGGGGCTCCTCTTTAACGAAAGACTGACTTTGCTGCTTTGTCTGGACTCCGGGAAACGCAAACCGGCACCGCCAGGCATCAGTTTGGTCATCAGAAAAATTTGGTGGTTTTGGGAAACGCCGAAGACGATCTTCTAACTCGTCCGCTTCTCTTCTGTCGCTTGTTGGTCGCTGCTGCGGAAACTGCGGGTGTTGGAACAAAATGTAAAGGAAATCCCACGAGGCTGGAGAATCTGGGTACTCGTCTTCCGTGTTGACGACCTCTGCCCGGTTATTTGTTGATAACTGGGTGGAGAGTCCGTTTGTATCACGGACCAAGTACACCAGATAGTTGACGGAGAGGGGAAATCTCCGTCTGGACCTCTGCTGAAGTTGATCAGAGGATTTTTCTTCTTGGAAAGAGATTTCTTTGCCGGGAAAACGCTGGCCTTCTTCTATTGAAACGGCCTCTGAACGGAACCCGATGCTTGTGTGAACTTCCATCAGCCATAAAGAGACTACCCCGGGTGACGTCTAAAATTAGATGGCATTATAGAAAAGTGGAGAACTTCGGAGGCTTACCAACTTATGCTCCGATACCCTTTTCTACGCGGGTTTTATCATCCTTGCTGTGTCGGGGATATCTACGAGAGCTGCATCCTAAATGCACCAGGTCACATCTAAGATTAGATCGCTTTATAGAGGATTGAACTCTGGGGACTCACCTATTCCGCTTCGACGACTTCTCTTCTGGCAATTATTAATCCCTGCTGCAACTCTTGACTCTACAACTCACGTAATACCGAAAAGTATGAGTAAAAAGTGTCGGGTAGACTCAAAAGACTCACCGTGCGTTACTTCAAACCCCAGTCTTCTGAGGAATAAAATTGATCTGCCAAAACCTGGGGCTACGTGTATCAGATGATACCTAAAACCGCAACTAATTAAAGGAAATTAAGAAGACTGCGATAATGAGAATGAAATATCGTATTTTATTCCGAGACTCTTCTCTGTAACATTTTAAATCGTCGACTGGTGCAAGAAATTACGTGCAACAGACAACGCGTACAATAAATAAAGATCAGGAGCAGACTTCGGGAAGATTCTTCGTTTCCCCTTCTGCATCTTAATCTGAAGAAGAAGATAAATCAAAAGGTGTTAGCTTTACCGAGACTCACCATATCTCCTGAACACCTTTTCCCGCGAAGTGCATCTGCCAGAACTGCGAGCAAAGTGCGTGAAATGCCTAAAAGAAGGATTATAATGTACCGAATTCCCGAGATTTAGTGTTTTGTTTCGAGACCTGATACAGTCCTATCTTCTCGATACTCGGGATATCCATTCGGATATTCTTCCTCGTTAATTTCTCGTTCCAGCGGATGTATGTCATGGTCTATCCGCTTAAAGCACGACCTAGTTTAAACAGATACTGATAATTACAGTTTTTAAGAGTGAAAGCTAATAGCAAACCTCGAGGAACCGCTATGGACCGCTTTTACTGAGAGAATCGGTTCGTCGATCGTCGATTCAAGATGGCCGCCAGCAAACCACTCGAAATGAGCTACACGTGCGAGATCTGCGGATCGGAGGGATTCAACGACGAGGAGATGAGATCGCACATGGTGCTCTGCCACCTTCAAGGGGCGGCCCATTGTCCCTTTTGTGACCTTGGAGAAATCTCAGCCGCCGAGATGATGCTTCACGTTAACAGCGCCCACCTGGATTACCTTACACCTTGGTAAAGTATAACCTCGTTATCCTTATTTTTCTTCTAAGCGTGCCCTTGAATGTATCTGCATCCGTTCCCTCCAAGGGAGGCTCTCGATAATTGTTCATTCGGTCAATTAGTTCCCTTATCAGGGGGCGAGACTTCGGTGGTGAACATCTGCGTGAGAACTTCCCCCATCTGGCGGCAAATGGCAGAACTTAATATTGAGTTCCACTTTCACGCGCTTTAGTGCTAATTAAAGAGTTAAATAAAACGGTTCCACAATTATTATACTTAGTTTCCGAGACTTCGTGTTAAATCAAGGAAAACAATTACGGCACTTTATCTTATGTTCCACTTTTCTTCGCTCCTAGTAGTAATGAAAGGATTAAATACGCAAACTTCTCTCTCTCTCTCTTTATTGTTTTTTTCTTTTTTCGTAAGTATTTAAGAGGTGCACATATTATTGCCCTGCCGGGGGAAAAAAAATGTTAACGCGGTAGATTTGGCAAAGGTTTTGCTTGACATTCTTGGCACGACGCCCGGTTTGTAAACTAGGCCATTTGAAGCACAATCGGACATGCGTGGAATGCATTATTAATCGAGATCGATTCATTGTTTTTAGTCCAAACAGTTAGATGAAAGATTAAGCGCTCCCATGGAAATGAGATCGGTTCCTTTATCCGATTAGAAAGGTGGCGACATCTCACGACGGGAAGCCGAATCATTCTACCGACTCCCGATTTCACGATTATCTATTCATTCCTTTTCTCTGTACATTAATATTCCTCGGCACATCTGACAGCGTGGGAAACAATATTCAAAATGTTCGGTAGCATGTTAGGTGACATTGTGAAATTGATTGAGTTTTCCCGCCACATTGTGATACGACATTTTTCAGGGTTTCAGTTTTATTTCCACACATCCTAGGCGGATTTATTTATCTTCTAAGTTGGACGGTTGAATTGTTTATGTCAGATCTTGCTTTAAGATCTGGTATAGTGGAAAATCTACGCCGGGATGACGAAAAGGAAACGGTGGCATTTATTTACTATTTTCAACCGTACTAAGACGATATCTAACGCGAAATCTGTAGTGCGTAAACGGTAGTATAATAAAAGTTCATTTTATATTCGCTTAGTGCGAGCCATAAGTGTAACCTAATTTCTCGAAACAAGCTACCGAGTAGATATCGGAGAGGAGAATTGTTAATGCATGCTTTTGCCTTATGGAATTCACGAACAAAATGAATTAACCTTGTAATAAGTTCTGAGGGTTACAAATGTACGTAATAAAGGAATATATAAGTCAATTAACGTATAAATGGTATCGGAACATAACTTTAGTTTATGTTTACTTCTTGTGAGATATGCGTTTAACCTAATTTCTCACGAGACGACGATAGGTACATATCAGAAAAATAATTGTTAGTTAATGCATGTTATTATTCATGGTACCACCTGATTAACAAAAATAATTAGTTTTGTAACAATAGGTTATAAAGTGTAGAAAAGGAAATAGTAAATTAAAATGTAGATCATGCGTTAGTATGTATGCGACGGTGAAACTTCGTTTTGTATGTACTATCGGAGAACCGCATATGAAATCTGACTTCGGAAAAGTATACTGAGTAAAAATTAAGGGAAAATAATGAATAGTGCATGTTTTTAACTCCCAGTAGGAACTATTCAATGGAATAAATAAATCCTGTAAACATGAATCTCTTTAAAGTACAGGAAAGCAAGTATTACTGTAGATGAAATTAGGAGTCACTTAGCGCTTAAATGGCTTTATAATTTAACTTCATTTTATGCTCGCCTACTGTGAGTCGTAGATATAATCTAATTTCAGAGAAGGCTAATAGAGAGGTAGAAGTTACGAGGCAAAATAACTTGGATAATGCACATTTCTAACTTCTACTAGAAAATAATTAGCAATATTAATCTCGCATCAATGGGTTATGGAGTAAACAAAGTAGTAAATGGATTTATAGTTCATCGTTAAGATATGAATTGATTTTCCATTATTGTGACTAATAATTAATAATTTAATTCACAGTACCCCAGACAGTGATACAATGGCATTCATCGATGAGGATCCCTCAATGGATGGAGATCAGGATCATGAAGATCGCGGTCCTTCCTCTCTAATGTCGTTACACCCTCCTCACCTCCGGAATGGATGGGGCAGTTCTTCAGATATGCGCTCTCTTGCGCCACATAAGCCAGAGCCTCGCTCAGCCAGTTCTAATGTGAATCTGAATAATAATAACAACAACAATAGCAATGTCAATAATGGTACGGAAAACCCACAATGAAGTTATAGTTTATTGTAAAGGAAACGTTAACTTTTTTTTTTTTTGTACTTTCTAATTTAGCCTGGCATTGTGCATAAAAATAATTAAATTCATTTCACAGTGGTCGAAGGTGCAGCGGGTCATGGTTCTCCCCTTCGGTCCAGTTTGAACCTCCAGTTACGCTCTCATGCGTCGCCAAAACTCCCAGTACAGGAGTGTCCGATGTGCCCATACAGTTCGGACAGTCCACTGCGACTGGAGGAACACATTAACCGGCAGCATTTTGATCTGACGTCGCCTTCGTTTCCACCAGAGTCTCCACCATCTAGGGAAGGTGTATATAATTGTCCTCTCTGTGTGACGTCCTTCCCAAACTCGTCGGACCTCGAGCTGCACGTAAATATCGAGCACAAAGATATCCTCAGGTAAGACCAGAATATCTTTAAGGTGAAGTGAAAGTGACGTCGAAGAGTTCTCGTTCATGAAGCTTTTCTCCAAACTGGGTGCACCGAACAATTTCAAACTTTAACACGTGATTATGGAGGCCCTAAGGAAGAACGCGATGCTCGTGCAATTTCATTTTTCATAAAAAAAAACTTAATCCTCGTTCTAGCCTAGACTAAATAAAAAATGTAATTTCACGAGCATCAAGATCTTCCTTAGGGCCTCCATAATCACGTGTTAAGGTTTCAAACGATTCGGCGCACCCAGTTTGGAGAGAAGTTATATCAATATTTTGACGTTCTGATATATAGAACCCTTTCATGTCACCTTAATACATTTTATACGGACAACTGAGATGCATTCTAAAATACTTTAAACAGTCCAGCTAATGGCGCAGCGTCGCAGTCTGAATTAGCGACAGTAGGCGGGGACACTCCAGCTTGTCCGGTTTGCTTGAGCAGCTCCTTCAGGAACAACGACGAGCTGACCGCGCACATTGACGAGCACTTCAGTAAAAAGAGCACGCCCTCGCCGGTAACACCCGATCTTTCGTCGGACAGGATGCTAGCAAGAGACATGGAACGCAGAGAGAAGGAAGTAAGGAGACGCAGAGAGCAGAGGGAGTTCGAAATGCTCAGAGCGCAATACGGCATGGACAATCAGGGTAATTTTAAGGAGCAGAGCGTCACCAATATGCAACGAGCCGTGTATGCAGGAGAGATGTCTGTCGCAGACTACTACGAAAAGCAGATCGAACTAAGGGTAGCTGAAAGCAGTGGCATCGATGACGGGAGTTCTTGTACCAGAGGTAAATATTCCAATGAACGGTCTGATGCCCACTTCCACCAACCTCGGTTAAATCATTGATCACCTAACCGTAGGTTAAAGTCAACATCAAAGGTAATCGTGGGTTAAAAACCTAAATGTTCCACCACATTTATTTAGAGCGTGATTGGTTGATACTCCGATAGCCTAAAAAGCAAGATAAATGCTCCCTTATCGAGACACGAAGTCATTTGACAGACGCCAGCCTCAAGAAGTTAAGTTCCTTGGTTAAGAATTAATATGAAATATTTTCAAGCGTACTTGGATCACTAAGATATTGTAAATGGGATAAAAAAACGTCTTCTTCCGTTTCGTCATTAGAAGATGTTGATGCATCCTCGATGTAGTCCATATTTTTCCCACGTTTGTGCAGTTTTTTTGCTTGAGGTTCGATTAACCGAAGCTAAACAATCTAATTTCGCTGGTTAATCTAAACGGCGGTTAATGGAAGTTAACCCGCCGTTGAAATGTAGAACGTGCAACTCCTAACCTAGGATTAGCCTTTTGACCGAGGTTGGTGGAACCGAGCACGAGTGTTATTACTGATTATTACTAAGTTATTCTAGTTTAAAACACGGAATGTTAAAAAGGACATGTCGTGTTTCTTTCTCCGACATTTTCTAATACCTCTTCATGTATATCCTCTACTCATGACATCTTTACCATACGTCCGTGGTACATAAATATTACTAATTTAATTAATTGAGCTCGGGATTTTCTGCAATACAAATGAATGTCTAATGGCAATCTTGGCTCGGTACTAATTCCTTTTCTCTCAAAGGGTTGATCCCCAGGATACGAGCAGCTAGCCAAGCGAATACGAACGTCGTGAACACGTGGACATGTTCAACGGTGGATCACTATGGATCGACGTACGGAGATAAAGGCTGGGGCTGTGGATACCGTAATCTTCAGATGCTGATTTCTTCGCTGTTGCAACACACCGGTTACAACGAATTAGTGTACAGAGCCTGGAGCTCTGTGGCAGGAAGCAGTAGCAGCACGGAGAATCCTCTCCGTAGCTCAATACCCTCCATATCGAGGTTGCAGAAGATGATCGAATGGGCCTGGTCTCAAGGCTTCGACGTCCAGGGTGCCGAACAGCTCGAAGGGAAACTGGTCAACACTAGAAAATGGATAGGCGGTTCAGAAGTAGTCACATTATTGTCCAGTCTCAGGATAAGGTGAGAGATCAAAAACTATTCGGTCCTCCTTCGATAATTCCAGGGGATGTTCCTTATTGCAGGTGTCAGCTCATAGACTTTCACAGACCAACCAGTTCTGATGGCAAACACCCTGAGATGTTCAATTACGTCTTGCGGTACTTTCAACAGACGGAGGACTTCAAGCCTCCACTATATCTTCAGCACCAAGGTGGATAGAAGTGGATCAGACTTATTTGGAAGAACTGCCGCACTCTTAAAGATTCATTTTCAGTTAAGGAGGTAGACCAGGGTAACGGGTTGACATAGGGATTATGATACACGATGATGGTACCTTTGGGAATCCTTTTTTCACCTGTTAACTGTGCTCGACGTGTATGCAGTAATCCGTAACGTTACAGTAAATTTAGCAATGCAACCAATTTTCCGTCTAGTACACGTAGGAGGATCCACACAATTTGGAATAATTTATGTATAATGACAGGAAATTGTGATAGCATGTTGTCTGCTTGTAAAGAAATTCCCAAAAGTGTCGAGCCTTTGACCCGTTACTCCGATCGACCACTTTAGGTTTAATTCAATTCTTAATTTTATTCTGCAATTTCAGGTCACAGCAGAACAATCGTAGGAGTAGAACAATTCAGAGATGGGTCTATAATGATGCTGGTACTGGATCCCAGCCACAGTCGATCGCAAATGATGCAATTTAATAATACTAGCACTAGTCTGAGTGCAATGCGACTGATGCGCAAGTCCATGGCTGCAATGAAAGCTAAACAGTACCAGGTCGTAGCGGTTGTAGGAATCATGGACACCGAGTCCCAATATCAGGTAATATTCATTAATCAAACCGCAGACATGTGAAGAATGACTTTAATAAGTGTAACTAAATGCAAGGCTCATTTGATATGAAATTATGAAATATTTGGTACCCATATTGTTCAGGGTAGGCGTTATGAAACGTGCAAAGTGGTTTGGATTTAGTTGCTGCAAAAATCCTCATTTGACCAATCAGACGAGCAACATTACAGGAGGGCATCGATCATAAATTCGACAGTTTCTTATAACATACATTTATAAGTGGAGATAGTGTTATTGATCGTGATTTGTAGTTCGTAGAGAAATCGTAGCAACGAAGTTCCACCGACTATTGACTTTTCATAAGACCCTGTTTAGAGTGCCTTAAGGTGAACTGAGACACGTTGAGAAATTTGTTCGACGTCGGTAAAAGAGATTCTTCTAAACACCTACCTTGCCAACGTTCGTATTTATATCGACGGTTCTATCTAATACCCTTAAAAAATAAAGTGTCTAATTCGAATCGACTGATTTTAGGGGGGTTTCACTTCACCTTAAAGTCACCAAATCTGGTAATATGAGATTGAACATTATGTTACAATTTTTTTTTCTATCGAACCACTCATCAATAACGAGTAAATGTTTTGGTTTGCTCTATTTGAAAATAAATGTTCGATTAGAGTTTTCTACATAAGTCACTGCACAGATTATTAATTGTTTTATACATCATTAAAGCGAGATTAATCATTACCTATAAATCTGTTTCAGCAAAGTAAAGTTCTGTGCTCCCTCCGAGTTCCCTTGGACAGGTGAGACTTAAGGAGGACCGCGAACTGGAAGAGGATACGGCACCTCCACCTCGAGCTGTCATCAATAAACGTCATCGAAGTCTCGTGACCATCAAGAGCGAAAAGTCAATAGTCAGAGCAAGGAGATTCGCGCCACCCCACGAATAACTAGCTAAATATTCTCACATTCTTGCCCCCTCCAGAGATCGAGTGATCGCGTCTCGTTCTTGCTAAAGTATTTCTATTATTAGTTAATGAACGAATGAAAGAGATTAGATAGCGATGAATCTAACGAATTAATCCTGAGGCCTCTCGATGGCTGTGGATCCTTAGGAAGTCCTTCGCTCTCACAGATTGCGAGCCTCCGAAGGCAACTTATAAATTCTTCGTAGTCATTTCGATTGCTCAATATTTTTTTCAGGCTAGTACAAGGAACTGTTAAAGGGAACTTAGTCACGTACATATCTGGATGAAAGGTCTCTCAGCTCTTAACGTGGAAAATAAATCTGTGCGAATTTTACATCGATTCGAGTACTTTCCACTATTGGTCGTAATGTCTCACCTTGTTCCTTTCAGAATGTAGACGACAATAAATATTTCCTTTCGAGTGTGGATCAGATAAATGCAATTGTTCTCAATTAATAAACGATCCCTCTGATCCAGATATATGGGTTTCGAAGTTTCAGGAGTTACTTGTAATAATTGTGAGAAAAGTATTGAGAAGCTACGATGATTGGTTAACTCACGTGTATCTTCGGCTCTCCTTAATCCACGAACGAGCAGAATCCGACAACAATGAGGAACAACATTTCTTTAGACCGCTCTACAGTTATCGAGCGCCGACCAATCGCAAGCCATCCCTAAATTTGTGGTAAGTTTTCGGTGCGTTGACTGGAGAAAAGTTGGCAGCTGCGATGCTGACATCGAATTAATTCTAGTCATCCAATGATATAACAATACACTCTGTTATTTTCATTATATTTCGAAGCGGTGTTCAATCTAATAGATAAATAAATAAACTAATTAATAGGTGAGACACCGGAGAGACACCTATAGCTGCGATGCCGCTGTCAAATTAATCCATAATCCTAAATTAAGAAACCTCTGGATACTTTTTAATGCACTTCGACGTTGCTACTTTTTACTTAATGTCGTGTTTTAATTTCAGCCTCGGCCTCACTGGAAATATAAAGAATTGCCATGTTACTTGTATTTAATGCTGTACCATGAGTCTCCGATCGTTCGAGTGGTAGACCGTTAATTGGATATTTATGTTACAAGGAAATGCCACCCAAACGACGAGACTGCCAATATTCTTAAATATCTTATACGGAAACACATTATTTATTATAAGCGAGCTGTTGCACAGAAACTCTATGAAGTCAAGTTACAACTCATCCGACACCGTCACATACATGAAGTACAAGTTTCATACTTATTATAAATATATTTAATCAATAAGCTCAGCGATTTAAGACCATTGCATCTTTAGCTTGTAAGTCTACGGTGATATTAGAATTATACTCGGTTGTTTTAGATTTAATGTGTTACATTCACGATAACTTTCAAGGAGTATGTCCTAATAATATCCACAGGCTTTATTTCGACTTTGAATGAATACTTTAAATGAAATTGTTTAATTTCATGGAAAATCTCTCCGCATTTTAAGGGAAAGATTATTAATTCATGATCCAAACGGAATAATTGGAGAAACATAAATATTGGGGCATGCTCTTCATTTAGCTGACTTTAACATTACACATATTATACTATTGTAATATCTTTCGTTTGCATCGATATTTATATAAGCTTACTTTAGATTTCCTGAATTGCAAGATCATGTAATGTTTTATTTTCTTATATATACATTGCATTCGAGGCTTCCTATGTTTTATCTTAATATTCCACTCATAAATTCACCTTGAAATATCACTATAATGTGTAACACGCAGCATCGTCGACCTTATTACATTATTTGACGATATTTGATATCATTACAGATCATGGAAAGAAATACCATACCGCTTCGAGATTCTGGGCCTGACTCTCAAATCTTCTGCGTGACATAAATCATTTAACGATCCAATTATATCAAATCAAAATATATGCTTTGTTAGTATACCTTAATTTTTTATATCACTCATTCCTTGTTACCAACACAGGACAGTAAAGATTGCTTTGAAACGTTCTAAGAATGTATTTATACAATCAGTTTATACATACTATATGACTTAACAAATGCTGGTAATACTTTACATAGAAAATTATGAGTGACGGAGATCATCTTTGGTACTTCCCAAATAACTATATATTAAATCCCATGTCCCGCATGCATGTCTTGTGTGCCTCAATCAGATCCCTGCAATTTTCCTCGCCGTTCTCGACGATGCTGCAAGATTAAAAATTTTAAATTGTTCCAACCATCCCATGGCACATTCAGATTTTATTTAACCCTTAGCGCTTTGCAAGTTTCGGAACGTTATGACAGATGTCTCCATGGTGGAGCCAACGGAGCGCTAAAGGTTAATAATAAAAATTCAAGCATTACCATGAACGTAAAATAAGACATTTCTAACACAAGACCAACAAAAATTGATTCCCATCGACTTCACATTACGGATTAGTTAATAAATTGGATACCTTCAGTCTTTAAAATAAGTTCTAACTGAATAAGGGAGATTATAACCGTGTATGTAACATATAAAAAGAAATACTAGATTTTCAGAAATTCTAACTCCAGGAACTTCTTCGAGTCATCGTGAAATGTTAATTTCCGATTACACAAGTCGTCCTTGAAGCATGCAATTACGAGTCAAGTTCAACCTAACCTAGGAATTTACGTACCAAGTGTCGCGAGCTTTTCGAGTTTCAGGACAAGCGCAGCACGGCTTTAGTTTTTTCTCCGGTTCTTGATTTGCTTCCACTTTCGTCACGTTACTTCCCATTTTTATCAGGAAACGGTATAATCGATGATAAATCAACCCTTCCAAAAGGCTTCCGTCTTCACAATCCTATACTCTAGTAAAATCGACATTCAACATGAAGTGAAACAATAGAGATGAGTTGCGCCGCCACTGAGGGGTAACAGGTGACAAGTACATTATACGCCCACAACAAACCACCAGGGGGCAGCACAGGCCGATCGTGCGACCCTGCACGTGAGCAATCTCCCAACTCTGGGGGTCTATTAAGTAAAGCAAATTAAGCGAAAATGTGAAAAATGAGTAGCTCACAGTATTACGAAACGTTTTTGGTGGTGAAAATGCGAGACCATTCAGATTAAGAGACGATTACAGCGCCGCCATCCGTTGGCTAACGTACTATTCATCGAGCATCGAACGCCGTATCTTTCTGGGCTTCTATGGAGACTTCTGAATTCTTTGGCTATAGGCACGTTGAACGTGAATCAATCTTATTAAATCAAAGGATAAGTTAGCCAAAGAGACACGGCGAAACAATTTGGAATAATGGCACTCAGTCCGCAGACGAAGCAGAAAATTGCAGTCATTCTCGATATTTCCAAAGTCGTGTTCCACTGGGGATTTATTCCCGCAGTCCTGTATTTAGGTTAGAATCGCATATTACGTTTCACTCCAAAATCATTTAAGCATTAACGACATATCTAGGTTTTGCGGGAAGTCGTTTATAATATTTATGAATCTACAATTTTTTTCCGACGAAAGTTAATGGGTATTTCGTATGTTTTTAAGTCATTATCTGTACTTTAAGTTCATATTTATTTAATCAATTAATTTGTATGTTTTTGTTCTAGGATTTAAAAAAGGCGCGGAACCTGGAATGCCACCACTTACGCTAATGCAGTAAGTTTATTAGAAATTATTTTTAGAACGGCACACGTTTAAATATATTGATATAATGCATGTGAACAGATTCAATTTAGATGCCCAAAGACTATCACGTGGAAAGTTTCTTGTGGTTCCGTTGTTGTATGATCTGTGACGATCATACAATGTTACGGGATATGATTAAATTAATAATAGTTTTGTTTTCTATTTGGCATTTGTATATGTTATAAATTCAAATTTGTTTTGGTATCAGGACACGGAGTGAAATAAAAATGACAAATCATCCATTAATATATCTAATCTTGAATTTGTTTTATTTTTCAGTCTGCTGTGGCAGTAACCAAAATTCCTCGCCGCATTACACTTATTTGAAAATGTGTTTTTTCTTTATATTCTGGTTATGTGAATTGTAAAAAATTTGCCTGTGTATTTACTAGAATTATGTCAGTCTTGCAGATATATCTGTCAGTACCTTAGGTTAATTAAATCCTATTTCGTTACAATAATTATTTTAACCATTTAATATAAAGAAAATATACTTTGAACTCGTTAATAATGTTTGTATTATTACGGATATCTCATTTGCAATAATGAACAGATCATTTTTAAATAATAAACAATGCTGTACACGTTAAACTGTAACAATTAAGTATTGCGTGTGAATATATATTTTATTAAAGAAATGTTTATTATAAAGTATACATTTCCCTTCAGTATAGTATTTAAAGATATTTCTTTTCAAATGCACACAATAACGATGTTTCATTAATTTACTATATTTTCTGCCGATATTAAGATTTAATGATTTTTAAGAATGTACGACTTAACCTTGATATACTGAAAACTTAAATAATTCATGCTTACCAGACATGATAAAAAAATTATATTGTTAAATGTGAATGCAATACATATTTAAAAGATATAGATAGACTCGAGACCTTTTTACTTTTAACGGCTTTCCATCTTCCGGCCTTTCCAGCATATAAACCACACCTCTCACGATTTTCGATTTATAAGGTATGTACCTTTATTTGTTACCAGACTGAAAGTGCTAGTGATCTCGTTTTTTCATATAGTGAATACGTAATTCGGCTAATAAACCCACGTGAGGTGATAGTGCAAGAAGTGAGCGCTCTCGTCAAAAATACGTGTGTACCTTTATTTGTATTACTAGACCGGAAGTGCTAGTGATCTCGTTCTTTCCTATAGTGAATACGTAATTCTGCTAATAAACCCACGTGAGATGATAGTGCGAGAAGCGAGCGCTCTCGTCAAAAATACGTAATAAACGTCGTAAGTAAGGCTAGTGCTATTCCTGGCTATTCTACTACAATACACTACAATACAAGATAAGATACAAGACCGGAGATCTATGGAGACTGAGGTGGCACTACGGAGCTAGTACAAATTCAGCATAAAAAAAAAATAAAGGAACATAGTATTTCAAAGAAACCATATAGTATTTAAGAAGTTTTTTAAAGCAAGATGGAGAATGTATTGAATATTCTTAACCGAAAACTGTATGAAGTTAATCGACACCCAGAGTTTAATGCCAAATTCAAGATGTTGAGTACCGATGAACAACGAGTTATATTTACATTTAATCTCCTTGAAGAATTCGGAATTAAGCCAGAGTCGACATGTGAAAAAAAAAATGCGGCCACATCTGTAAATATTAGAGTAAAAGGAAATGAATTATTTACCGCAGATCCTGCCAGCAGTTCACGGTACGTTACCGCATGGAAAATGTATTCCGAAAGCATAGCTCGTGCTCCTCCTCGGTCGAAGGAGCTCGCTCTGGCCTACGCGAACAGATCTGCGGTTCTATTTCGATTTAAGAAATATAAGGAATGTTTGGAAGACATCGATAGAGCTTTGAGTCTCGATTACCCTGACGATTTAAAGCCAAAGCTGTTGTTACGCAAGGGAACGTGTCTCAAGGCCCTTGGGAAGCCAGAGTATGAGAAGACGTTTGAGGAAGCTCATCAATTGATAAAGAAAATGTCTGTAACGGAGAATATAAAGACTGTTCCTAAAAGTACAGTCCAGATGAAGAGGCTCAATAAAGTACGTGGGCAGGTAAAAGAAAAAGAACACCATGTACCAAAGATTCCTTCTTGTAATCCTGAAGTTCCTTTTGCATCCGATGCCGTAGCAGTTAAGTATGACGATATTTTTGGGAGACATCTCGTCGCCACCCGAGACATAAAACCTGGGGAAACGCTAGTCGTTGAAAAACCTTATGCTTTGATTTTGGCACCGGAACATATGTACACACATTGTGCCAAATGTTTAGATGTTGCTTGGGACAGCATACCATGTGACCATTGCGTATATGCGATGTTTTGTTCCGAGAAATGCAAGGAAGAAGCTTGGAAAGAGTTCCATGATATCGAGTGTCCTGTAGTTGGTCTTTTGCTGAATCTAGAGATGAACATACTTGGCTTGCTGAGTATGAGGCTTGCTGTTGTTACCGTAAGGAGAATGGAAAGTTTCGAGGCACTACGGAAAGAATTTCAGATCGTTGATAATTGGAAAGGTACAAATAGAACATACGATGATATCTTTTGCATGTCAATTATTTCTGAAAAGTCTAAATCTACAGCTTTAAGTGACGGTCTTGTTCTTTTTTTATACAGATCCTCGAACAAGAGGCTACGCGGATGATGGAAAGTTTCACAGCGAAGACTATCGTAGCGTATACAGTTTAACGACTAACGCCGACAAGAGGTCTGTGCCGGATCTCTTTGGGAGGGCATTAAATACAACGTATATTCTCTATTTTTTGGCAACGGAGACTGAAATGTTTGGAACGAAGCTGAAAGCAAATCTTCCATCCCTTGCGAAAAATTCAGATCTTACCTTTGTTGGTGGAATGATATTGCGCCACCAGCAAATGATTCCTAGCAATGTTCATATGGTATGGAGACTTCTACGTTTAACTTTATACGTTATATAATCATATGTCTCTGTATCCACTTTATTATTTCTGTTATTAGTTCGTAGAGGAACGAGATTTTGATAATGTTGAGCGCGGTGCGGCGCTCATGCCATTTTTCAGTCTTATTAATCATAGCTGCGATCACAATATCACTAGGCAGTCCTTAAAGGAGCATATGGTTCTTTATGCTCTATACCCGATTGAGAAAGGTGAACAGGTAACTATTAAGAATGATTCTTACTTCTACATAGCCGAACAGTAATGCCATATAAGTCCATTCCATAGTAATAATTATAGTAAAAGGTCTATCGATACTTTTTCAGAACAAAGTTCGTCAAATTTGTTTCCGAATGGCGTTACCATTAAAAAGGGTGTAGAGGAATTTCATTATATCGACTTCGATTAAATTTCTCAACGTCTTTCATATCACGTTGATATAATTATTCGTCCTCATAATTTACTTTAATATTTCAGTTGTTCGATAACTATGGACTTCTCTATGCTGTTATGGAAAAGGCTTCTAGACGGAAGAAACTCAAGGAACAGTTTTTCTTCGACTGTAATTGTCTACCGTGTGAAGAGGATTGGCCTACGTACTTTCACTTGCCATCGTACTCGGTAAGTAATACGTCTGATACAAAAGAAATTTGATCTTAAGGTGAAGTGAAACCCTCCTCAAATTAGTCGACTTGCATAAGACACTCTTTTTTTAAGGTTATTAAATAGAACCGTCTAAAATTTTGACACATGACTCGTGAGCACCTATGAGAAACAAAAGGGTTAGGACAATTGTACGGCAATTTAGAACACTCTGGTAATCGAGAAACTCGCATTTAAATGGAATAAAAGCAAAAAAAGTGTCTTATGCGCTTCTAGGCTAAGACGATGGTAATACGAGGTCTCGGAGTGAAAATTTCGTTGACACGGAAATCACAGATAGCGCAAGGGTTCTTCTGCAATCAATTAGGACCTCAGAAACCATGAATCCAGAGGATTTCTGGAGTTTTACTTCGATTTCTTTATAATTATTGTACGAAAACGACAGGTGGAGTATAGCGTTTAGTACAATACTCAATATAATTCGACACAGCTGTCGATGTAAAAAAAGTGTTTCACTTCACCTTAATATCTAAACCGATAACGACTACAGTTTTGTACACAATCTTTAACGGAGTCTATTGTTTTAGCGAATGTAATAATTTGGATTCATGTTTGATAGATAGCATTTCACTTTATCATTGATATTCCTTCAACTAATACTTTTTTCTCAATTACAGCACTGGATCTCTTCTCCACAGGAACGAGCGAAAATCGAGAAAGCCCTCAGAAATTTTAACCGATACATGGAATTGGCAACGGAAGGGGACATTGAGACTGAACCGAACATGTTAAAAAACATGTTCAAGATGATCGAATTCTTGTTCGAAAATGTCCCTCTGCCTTTTGTAGAGATTAACAATATCATTGAAACAATTAAACGAGTTGAATCCCTACATGGAAACACTTTTCTCATGCCAAAAATCTAAGTGTGCCACCCCGAGTATTTCATGCATGTGTTTAAAAGTCTTACCAAAACTACTTTTAGAACGACTGAGCTGTAAGAGCTTTTTAAGCGCATCAGTCGTACTGAATGTTTTTATGGGCACAGAACAGTATTTTATTATTAACATTACCTATTTTTTTATAGTTCAGCACCGGACTGCAAACTACTTAATGAGGTTGAATGACGGATATAATCATGTCTAAAAATCAAAGAGACTACTGTTTTGTTTTTGTTGATCTTATAATATTTTAGAGAGCTTGTCAATTACTATTTTATGCTTTAAGTTTTAACAGACTGTAGATGTAAGTGCGACTTTCATTTATATATGTTTCTGCGTCGTTATTTTCATATGTTAACTGTTGTATTTGCTCAAGATGTAATTCGTCCGTTAACAGTTAATAGGGTGGATGCTTACAAGAGAAAAGAATGAATAAATTTTAAAAGCCATGTGTGCGAACACTGCAAACAAATAAAAGGGATGTGATGTGTTTTTAAAACCAGGAATTAAGTACAATCTGCCTATTTCATGTATCAAATTAATATTTATCTGTGATTGAGATTGGTTTTCATGAATTTTGGATAGGATCTAATTTTATACTTCGTCACCCAAAATCTGTGCTTATCGGATGCTGCAAATTTCAGCATGTCGCTTTACCACCATACAATCTGCATAAACAATCTTGTTAAATAATACTCTATTAACATTGCTCTTCCAAGTGTCTCACCGAAAGAACTACTAACTAATAATTATTCTCCACTTCACATTTAACGTGATTTTATTAATATTATCAAATGATGTTAAGAACAAGCTCTTACTCTTAACACGTTTATGTTAATGTTCATTATACAGAACGTCAACGGTGTATAAAAATGAGAAATAGTTAGAATTTATATAGTTTTAAATAGTTAGAATTTTGTCAAGGAGAATAGGATTCTCCTTGACAAGATTCTTCATCGCTTTGAAGGTAAACAAAACTTAATTTAACAATAACTAAAACATACTCCTATCGACGCGTTGGTTGTAACGTCGATTAACAATGTACATTTCTTCCGTCGCGATTTTAAAATTTCTAGTTCTAGTTCCTGCCGGAATTAATTAACACTCGATCTTTATAAACAAAAAAGAAACCCTCTAAAAATGAATCACATGATTGACGGTTTTCAGACATTCCAAGAAACAATTGCCAGCAATAGAACTATTACGTAGGATGAACCAGAGTAGCTGGTACCATCGGAACTTCCATTCTCCGTTTCGTCCACTTTCTTTTCCGTATTTTGGTAATTTATTCTCCATTCCGTGGAGGGATATACCGGGCTTCTTCTTCCTAAATATTCCACCAAAATGTCGTTCGTGGCAATTCCTAAAACAGAGAAGTATAATTGATATCGACCCAGTGACCACTGTTATATAATTGTTAGGTAAATGTTACGTTTTCGAAACTAACACGTTATATAGTATAAAAGTAACATGGAAGTTAGATGTTAGTTATTATTTCTCACACGGTAAGGTAACATGTTATATTAATGTTACAATTTCAGTTACCTTAAAATAATATGAATTTTTCATACATTTAATAAAAAGGATCACGCAATTTTATCCAAAATTATATCATTTTTCATTTTTAATTATTTTTTTGTANATTCACATTGGCAAGTTTGAAACGATACAGAGAAAAGTTTCATATATGAGACCTCATCACGGCATTTTCACATCGCCTTAAGGATGCAAATGAAAATATTACAAGTGTAAATAATGGTGAGGAAAATAGACAAAGATGCTCTTAGTCTTTAGTACTCACCGAGTACAGTGTGCTTTAAATTGACGAGCATTTTGTATCCATCTCCACCACTTTGCGTAAAGTCCGTCATGAGGACTTGATAAGTCTCATTTCGGAGCAGATCGCTATAAGTCGGTATCAGACAAGAGGCACAGCGAACACGAACGGAAATTACTCTGGAATTGGGTGGTTTAACCAAATCATAAATCACCTGAAAAAATTGTATTGAGGAATAATTATAAACTGAAATAAAAATAAAAAGCATTAGGTTGTTAGGTAGTTATTGCGGTTTTTGCTGCTTAATTGAACCGTAATGACTTGGGTCGGACTAGTAATTAATATATCTTTAACATATTGGAGTTTAGTTTGCATAGTTATTGTATCTTTGTATTTCAACTTAAAGTGCGTAAAAGAATTTATACAACAATGGTCGTGTTAGCCACACACTGACTGAATTAATGATTAAACTAAGAAAGAACAATTAATATATCTTTAACACGTTGGAGTCTAGTTTGCATAGTTAATGCATCTTTATATTGCAATTTAAAGTGCGTAAAAGGATTTATGCAACCTAAAGCGCGTAAAAGAATTTATGCAACCTAAAGTGCGTAAAAAGATTTATGCAACAATGGTCGTGTTAGCCACACACTGACTGAATTAATTATTAAACTAAGAAAGAAAAATTAATATATTTTTAACATGTTGGAGTCTAGTTTGCATAGTTAATGCATCTTTATATTGCAATTTAAAGTGCGTAAAAGGATTTATGCAACCTAAAGCGCGTAAAAGAATTTATGCAACAATGGTCGTTTTAGCCACACACTGACTGAATTAATAATTAAACTAAGAAAGAACAATTAATATATCTTTAACATGGAGGAGTCTAGTTTGCATAGTTAATGTATCTTTATATTGCAATCTAAAGTGCGTAAAAGGATTTATACAACAATGGTTGTGTTAGCCACACACAGACTGAATTAATGATTAAACTAAAAAAGAACAATTAATATATCTTCAACACGTTGGAGTCTAGTTTGCGTAGTTAATGCATATTTATATTGCAATCTAAAGTGTGTAAAAGGATTTATGCAACCTAAAGCACGTAAAAGAATTTATGCAACCTAAAGTGCGTAAAAAGATTTATGCAACAATGGTCGTGTTAGCCACACACTGACTGATCTAATAATTAAACTAAGAAAGAATATCTTTATATTGCAATCTAAAGTGCGTAAAAGGATTTATACAACAATGGTCGTTTTAGCCACACACTGACTGAATTAATTATCTAACTAAGAAAGGGATATTGTTAGAACACGCGTTATGAAAGAAGTATATGAACCGCTTCTCCGAATACCACTGTTAATTTATCGTTATCATAAGAGGTGGGTAAATATCTTAATTCCTTCCCGTGAAAGCATCATAAATTGGAAGATAAAAGGAGAGAGATCCAGACCTGAAGACCAGAGAACTGAAGAAAGGCTCCATTGAGATCAGATGTTGTTTCCAATTGAAGAGACCGGACACTCCATTCCAACATTTCCAAAATATTATCACCAGTCATTGAAACCCTGACGAGGCCATTTGAAAAAGGGAGAACAGCCAACACATCTGCCGTAGTGATCTGAAAGGATTTTTTTCTTATTTTTTTTTCCACCACTGAAATTATTCATAATAATCGTCCCAGGTAGAAATTCATGATCCTCGTATGACGAGGAAATTCGATTTACAAACAATTTGCCGACCATTTGTTGCATGAAGTGTCTGCAATATTTGTACGCACATTACACAGTAAATTCGAAGAAACATTTGCGGTAAATTTGTCATTAATGGTTGCAGCAATGTATTCACCGCATACTTGAGTCATACGCCAGTTATGACATTTATGAGCTGAAAATTTATGGAAAATTTAACAGGAGCTGTAACATCATTCCATGACCTTAATTTCCGGATGTTGTATGAAGATAGTTGATGCTACAAATGTGAGCTAAACGTGACGCTGTTTCATGTTTCCGTTTCCATCACCTAATTACTCAAATATGAACTACGGACGCTGTAATTGTTTATTCGTAATTTGTGGGATTAATTTAGATGGACATATGTGGACAAACATTGAGACATTACATGCACTTCATTTTGTTTCATGTTTAAGTGTTTTTGGTCCGTCATTGCGTACTGCAGATATGAGTTCCAAACGAGGACTTATAAGTGACACCCTCGTGACTCATTTCATGATCTTTTATGAGACAAAATTTATGAAAATTTTGCATCATTTTGTCTATCTGGGATTCCTGATACCCGATCATTTTTGCGTCTTGTTTTCGATGTTGTTTCATGTTTAAGTATTTTTAGTTTGTCATTGCGTACTGCAGATATGAGTGATGAGGGTGTCACTCATTTCATGATGATTTTATGAGGCAAATTGTATGCAAATTTTGCATCACTTTGTCTATCTGGGATTCCTGATACCCGATCATTTTTGCGTCTTGTTATCGATGTTGTTTCATATTTAAGTATTTTTAGTTCGTCATTACGTACTACAGATATGAGTGATGAGGGTGTCACTCATTTCATGATCTTTTATGAGGCAAATTGTATGCAAATTTTGCATCACTTTGTCTATCTAGGATTCGTGATACCTGATCATTTTTGCATCTTGTTATCGATGTTGTTTCATATTTAAGTATTTTTAGTTTGTCATTGCGTACTACAGATATGAGTGATGAGGGTGTCACTTATGAGACCTCGTTTGAACTCATAAGTGACACCTTCGTCACTCATTTCATGATCTTTTATATTGCAAATTGTATGCAAATTTTTCATCACTTTGTCTATCTAGGATTGCTGATACCTGATCATTGTTGTGTCTTGTTATCGATGTCCTGATGCCTCCACTATGTTGAACCGCAATCGCAGCATCGGTCCACCCTTCGTCTCCGGCGAATTGTCTGGAATTCTATAAGTCAATTATAAATTAAAAAATACACGCAATTGGAGGGGATTAAACACTGAAAAATACATTTTTTATACACTTCTGCAAAATTGCGTGTAATTCTGAAACAATTTAATGTTTTTACTTGAAGGTAGAATTGTCCTGAGATATAATCACTTATACAGAAAGGTAATTTCTCTTTACTTCCCAAAAATCACATTTTTGGTCTATGACACTACCCGGACAGAAATTCATGATGAGGAAAATCAATTAACAAACAATTTGCAGGCCATTTTCTGCATGATCAAATGTCTGATATATATATACGCAAATTACAATAAATTTGAAGAAAAATTTGCATCACTGTCTATCTGGGTAGGGATGCCCCGTAAGGAAGAAAATATTTTTCAGTGTCCTATGGCTTTTTAATATATGAAGTCATTATTTACGTAGTCTATGAAGGCGTCCGTGAGGAGGTTTCCCAGGTTACATTCTTTTCTTCGACACGTTTTGCTGTCTCCATCGAGAAGAACGCGAGTTGTACCAACAACTTGGTGAGAGACTTCGTCAATGGCTTTTCTCCATTTCTCCAGCTCCTCTAGAATATCTGGAGCCTAGAAAATGAAGAAAAGTCAACTCTAAATGTTAAATACAACGCCCATATTCGATTCAACATTAAAGATAAATAAATAAGACAGGAGAAATTATGAAGTGAGAAGGCCCCTAAGAGCGCCCAAAGGCGCGCGACGTTTGGTCCAATATTGCCTGCACGGTCAGAGGAATCTCGCCCATAAGTCGAACTGACTCCGTGTACAAAGGCTTAAAAAAAAGTGTCTCAATCAAAGCTCCCGTTTCAGGGGGGGTTTCACTTCACCTTAGTTACTCATATTTTATAAAATGATTTTTTTTAAATATTTTCAAAGTGTCAGGATAATTCCTTGGTGCTCGCGAGTCACGTGTCAAAGTTTTGGACGGTTCGATCCAATGTCCTTAAAAAATAGTGTTTTATTTAATGTGATCGTTTAGAGGGGGGCGTTTCACTTCACCTTAGTCGTTCTTATTAATCTTAGATTAAGAAATAATAAGTAGTAGATTAATAAGCCGATCAGTACCTGCTTTACAGTGGAGTCCACAAGTACGGGATTCCCCTGGATACTTTGGACTTCCCCGTGGGAGTCGAAAGTCGTGGTGAAGTTCCCCAGGTATTTCGTGTAGGCGTAAGCCTGGACTACGTAGACTTTTCTTCCGCTTTTCTGGACCACTTCCGTGGGATAAAGCCCTTCCGGCATTTCCGAATCTGGCTGTTTCCCTGAATACAGAAAGGTGTTGGTGTGGCCCCCGATCACGAGGTCGATGTCTTCGACCTCCCTGGCGATCTTTTTGTCCGTCTCGTATCCAGAGTGGCCCAGGGCTATTAAAATGTTTACTCCTTCCGCTTTCAGCTTTTTAGCCTCTCTCGAGACGGATTCCACTTCGTCCAGGAAGTGGACCTTCTCTGTCATGGATATGAATTGCGTCTCTGGGGTCAAGTACCCTATCACCCCGATTTTGGTGCCGTTCACCAAAAGTACGGTGCTCTTCGCCAATTTTGTAGCTTGCAGCTTGGGCTCGTCTTTCAGATCCAAATTTGACGCCAAAATTGGAAAACTCGCGTTTTCGATGAAAGGCACCAATCCGGACACTCCGTCGTCGAATTCGTGATTTCCCAAACTCTGAAAGATACGGAAGAGAAAGACGTTCGATTTTATTTTTATCTCCTAGTAGTGCACAATATTTTTTAAATGTGTTTTTTTTTTGTAATTTCCGCTAACCCTAGTAGCAGAAAATATTTACCCTATATTCTCTATATATTTAACGAATATCGTACATTTTGTAAATACTTAGCAGACATTTGAAATATTTGCAAAACGTTTAGAACATTATCTCTATAATATTTATACAATATTACCTCCATGTGATTTCATAATATGTTACTAACAGATGTACAAAACATTTCGTTTCATTTTAATATTTGTATTTTTTAAATATTAACCTGCCGAGTACATTATAAACGTTTTAAAAACATTTTATATCAAAATCACACGTTTTGCTCCCATAATGAAATAACGGAACGAAAATATTAAAAAAATTATTGTTTTGATACCAAATGAAGTGTCCGATAATAATCGTGAAGTAAAAAATGTTGTTTTTTTATTGTATGTTCACAAATTAAAAAAATATAGTTGCTGTATATGTTTGCAAATTATGGAAACTAAATATGTCATGTCAGGAAACAGGGCCAAGTTTTGACCAAATACATTGTTAAACTGAAAATTGAATTCATACTTACAATCGCATCCGGGGCTAAGAGATTTAAAAACCTGGTGACAATTTTCCATTTATGGATATTGTACCAGATGGTTCCCTGGTACGTGTCTCCAGCATTTAAAAAGAGACTTGGAACCGTCGAATTTCGAGCTTGTCGAATCAACGTGGCTATTCTTGCAAAACCCCCATAACACTTTCCTGTCGTAGAATCATTCCAACTGCATCTCGTTGACACCCTTGACGTCTCTTCGAATCTGAATTTCAACAAAAAAGAGATCACATTTAACCTAGGAAGACGAAGTAATTTTAAGGTGAAGTGAAACACGTCGAGGAACTTGATCGACGTCGGTAAAAAAAGGTTTTTCTAAATACGTTGCCGACGTTCGTTTTTATATCGACAGCTGTGTCGAATTATATTGAGTATTGTACTAAATGGCATACTCCATCTGTTGTTTTTTTACAATAATTATAAAGAAATCCAAGTAAAACTCCAGAAGTCCTCTGGATTCATGGTTTTTGAGGCCCTAATCGACTGCAGAGGGACCCCTGCGCCATCTGTGATTTCCAGGTCAATTAAATTTTCACTCCGAGACCTTGTATTACCATCGTTTTAGCATAGCAACGCATAAGACACTTTTTTTTTTATTATCAGAGTGTTCTAACTTGTACAATTGTCCTCACCCTCGATATACAAGATTGTTATTATTCGTCGTAGTGGCCGAACAAATTAGCCGCAAAATTAATTACGGCAGGAAACGGTAAAACGGAATTTACAAGTGGCGTATGCCACGCTCGGCTAGCAGAAACGTCAAAATCAGCTGATCGCTCCGGCCACGTGACCAATGAGCCACATATCAAAATTAATCAAATTCTGATATCAAAACTAAACAAATTATGATATCAAAACTAAACAAATTATGATATCAAAACTGAACAAATTAGCTGCAAGAATAATTACGGCAGGAAATGGTAAAACGGAATTTACAAGTCGCGTATGCCACGCTCGGCTAGCAGAAACGTCAAAATCAGCTGATCATTTCTCCCACGTGACCAACGAGCCACATATCAAAACTAATCAAATTATGATATCAAAACTAAACAAATTATGATATAAAAACTGAATAAATTAGCCGCCAGATTAATTACGGCAGGAAACACTAAAACAGAATTTACAAGTCGCGTATGCCACGCTCGGCTAGCCGAAACGTCAAAATCAGCTGATCGCTCCCGCCACGTGACCAACGAGCCACATATCACCCGAGCGTGTTCTCATATTGGAGGCTTTAATAATTGTATATCGATCGAAATATGAGAGCTCGACGCCATTTTCGTTCTGGTCTGGGCTAAGTTAAAAAATCTTGTAGAAAAATCCAAATGTTAAAAGTGACAGGATAATTCCTAGGTACTCACGAGTCTTGTGTTAAAGTTTCGGACAGTTCTATCCAAACACCTTTAAAAAAAAACTGTAATTCGAGTCGACTGATTTGCTATTACTTAACAGGGAAACCCTTGGGTCACTGTAAAATTCATAAAAATAGTTCTAAAAATGTAATGGAAAAACAGAATGCTTACGAATGAGTGGATGAATTATGCCGTGGGAGAACCTAATGTAAACGACGCAAATGAAGTAATCACGATAAATAATTACTGGATTTAATACATAGAATTAGTATTCATTATCGCGCGGTAAAAACCCCGGATAAAATCCCGGAACGTCTCTTCCTCGGAAACTGACTTTCTGGTTTCGTGTCATTGAGCAATCTCGAAAGCTTACATAATTAATGACCGTATTGTTGGATGATTATCAATTATGCTAGTCGAACTCGAACACTTGCGGCCTCGAAGAGCCACTCGTGTTGTACGAGCAAAGCAATAAAAACGATTTTACACACTTCGCTGTACTTATCTTCATTATCAGAAATCTCACATCTGCCTTATACTTGTCTCTAGATTCTTCGTTTTGTCCCAATGTTCTCAATGTCAGCTAAAACAACTGCTTACCTGTCATTATCGTAATACATCCACAGTTACGAATTATTATAAATAATGAGAGCTACTTACCTAGAGTACATGTCATTAGTATATACAATCATCAAAGTCTCCAAGTGACCGAGTCTTAATATATAAAATTGACAAATGTTATTTTACTATGTAATATATCCACAGTTACGAATTACTATACATAATCAAAAGTATTTACCTAGAGTGCGTGTCATTAGTGTATACAATCTTCAAAGTATCCAAGTGACCGAGTCTTAAGGTGAAGTGAAACCCCCTTCAAATCAGTCGATTCGAATACAACACTTTTTTTTTAAGGGTATTAGACCAAACTGTCCAAAAACTTTGACAAATGACTCCTGATCATCTAAGAATTGTCCTGACACATTCAAAATTTGGATTTTTTAACAAAATTTTTCAACTCAGCTCAGACCAGGATCAAAATGGCGTCGAGCTCTCATATTTCGATCAATATACAATTATCGAAGGCTCTGATATGAGAATCGAAAGGGTCAGGACAGTTGTAAAACAATTTTAAATACTCTGGTAATCGATAAACTCGAATATGAACGGGATAAATGCAAAAAAAGTGTTGTATACGCTTCTATGCTAAAAGGATGGTAATACAAGGTCCCGGAGTGAAAATTTAATTGACCTGGAAATCACAGATGGCGCAGGGGGTGCCTCTGCAGTCAATTAGGACCCCAGAAAGCATGAATCCAGAGGATTTCTGGAGTTTTACAAAACATTTCGTTTCATTTTAATATTTGTATTTTTTAAATATTAACCTGCCGAGTACATTATAAACGTTTTAAAAACATTTTATATCAAAATCACACGTTTTGCTCCCATAATGAAATAACGGAACGAAAATATTAAAAAAATTATTGTTTTGATACCAAATGAAGTGTCCGATAATAATCGTGAAGTAAAAAATGTTGTTTTTTTATTGTATGTTCACAAATTAAAAAAATATAGTTGCTGTATATGTTTGCAAATTATGGAAACTAAATATGTCATGTCAGGAAACAGGGCCAAGTTTTGACCAAATACATTGTTAAACTGAAAATTGAATTCATACTTACAATCGCATCCGGGGCTAAGAGATTTAAAAACCTGGTGACAATTTTCCATTTATGGATATTGTACCAGATGGTTCCCTGGTACGTGTCTCCAGCATTTAAAAAGAGACTTGGAACCGTCGAATTTCGAGCTTGTCGAATCAACGTGGCTATTCTTGCAAAACCCCCATAACACTTTCCTGTCGTAGAATCATTCCAACTGCATCTCGTTGACACCCTTGACGTCTCTTCGAATCTGAATTTCAACAAAAAAGAGATCACATTTAACCTAGGAAGACGAAGTAATTTTAAGGTGAAGTGAAACACGTCGAGGAACTTGATCGACGTCGGTAAAAAAAGGTTTTTCTAAATACGTTGCCGACGTTCGTTTTTATATCGACAGCTGTGTCGAATTATATTGAGTATTGTACTAAATGGCATACTCCATCTGTTGTTTTTTTACAATAATTATAAAGAAATCCAAGTAAAACTCCAGAAGTCCTCTGGATTCATGGTTTTTGAGGCCCTAATCGACTGCAGAGGGACCCCTGCGCCATCTGTGATTTCCAGGTCAATTAAATTTTCACTCCGAGACCTTGTATTACCATCGTTTTAGCATAGCAACGCATAAGACACTTTTTTTTTTATTATCAGAGTGTTCTAACTTGTACAATTGTCCTCACCCTCGATATACAAGATTGTTATTATTCGTCGTAGTGGCCGAACAAATTAGCCGCAAAATTAATTACGGCAGGAAACGGTAAAACGGAATTTACAAGTGGCGTATGCCACGCTCGGCTAGCAGAAACGTCAAAATCAGCTGATCGCTCCGGCCACGTGACCAATGAGCCACATATCAAAATTAATCAAATTCTGATATCAAAACTAAACAAATTATGATATCAAAACTAAACAANGTATGCCATTTGGTACAATACCCAATATAATTCGACCGAGCTGTCAATATAAAAGCCAACATCGGCAACGTAGGCATTTAGAAAAATCTTCTTTACCAACGTCGATCAAGTTCCTCGACGTGTTTCACTTCACCTTAATAGATAAAATTGAGAAATGTCATTTTATTACCTAATACATCCCCAGTTACGATACATAATTTTAATTTAAATTACGATACACGGAATTACAATACATAATCAGGTCTATTTACCTAGAGTGCATGTCATTGGTGTGCACGATCCTTAGTGTGAGTCCTTCGGTGGCTGAATCTATAGGAAGTCCTTCGATGGCCAAGGCGAGCATCAATAACGCGATCGCTGACACCGAAGGTGACATTTTTGATGACAAGCTTGGGGAACGTCAAGGGGTGTCACTTTTGGGAATAAACAGGGATATATATCAGTCGCTGACGGGTGTCATATCCGAGCGGCCTTTTCGGCGCGACGAGCGAGAGATCACTGCTTAGGCGTCTCGAGTGCTTTCGTTTCTGTCACTGTGGAGGGCTTCGGATTCAGATAGCACGAGTCCGTGTCAGGGGAACTAGAGACCTCGGAAGGAGGCATTTTATTCATCCTCCGATCTTTCCGAGCCTTCCCTAGTAGCATAGAATAATTTCTAAATATTTCTTTGTAATCTTTGCTAAATATCTCAAGTGACAGATTTTCTTCATTTTGTTTTTCTTGTATATTTCATTCGAAGATATCTGAAGGAGAAGACATCTTCTCTCNACGTATAGAGAAATTATATATGTTTTAACTTATTAACATTATAAAAATACATTTTTTACTTCACTTCTTTTTTACATTTTTTATTTACGCCGCGGAGACTTCTAATTATCTCGCCGGCGAAATGCGGTAAAGAATTCCTTAATTAAATAATGGAAGAAAATGTCTATTATAATGAGAATTAAGAACGAGACGTGGTATTTTATTTTAATGCCAATTGGTAATTTTACTTTATAATTATCGGCTTGGATTGAGAAATTAGATATTTTTATTTCTGCTGAGGAAACCTCTAATTATCTCGCCGGCGAAATGCAGCAGATTTCTTAGAGATTATTTTTTAACTAATTCCTTAATTAAATAGTAGAAGAGAATTGCAATTATAATGAGGATTAGCAACGAGACGTGGCATTTAACATTAATGCGAATTGGTGATATTATTTTGTAATCATCGGCTTGAATCGATAAGTGCTTATTTAATAATACATTGTATGTTTCTTAGCTTAAATTCACATTCATTAATTAATACGAAGAACTATTGTTTAATGCAGTAAATTATATCCTATAATAAGTGCAGAACATTAAGTTTTTATTTTAGACCCAATTTCATAATTAATTAACGGACGTGAATTTAATGAGAATTAGCAGCGAGCCGCGAAGTTCAATTATTTTTTTAATCTCAGGCTTCGCTTAAACAATTCTTATTTTACTTCACAGTAAATTGTGTTTAGGGAGTTCAGTATAATTATTATTTAAAATTAATACGCGTTAATAAAGGCGAGGAATTTTTTCACCTAACAAAGTATAACATATGGAGGAACATTCTGCAAATCACGCATTTATTATAATCCTTTCTTCAATTCATGAAGATTATCGTCTTATAAAAAATATCCCAAGATTATGATTTTTAAGTTAGAGACGTAAGGACGGGGGATTAATTTCCTTTTTTTCATAAATTACTGGAAAATCCAAGATCTTGAACGAAAACCTCTGAGGGTTAATTAAGAATACATATAATAATCTTTCTCAAGGTATAATAATTTTTAGCCGGCATTTTGTCGATTTCGATCTTACAATTTATTTTAGCCTCATTAAAGTGGAAAAATAAAAATACGAGGCAGGATGACGTTTCTTCAAATGTTACGAAACGTTCTGGCATTAATTATTTATATAATCGGTTCTTTTCCTGACATGTGACGAAGTTCTATTTTTAACGAGATAGCGAAATAAGGAAGCGACATAAATTTAGTAGTTTGTCAATAATTCATATTTCCTGCATTTACCGAAATTACCACAGTCATGTTTCTCTACATAAGTGCAGGTAAAGACCAGTTTGAAAAATTGCAATTTGTTAATTCATTCGAGGGCTTTTTCTTGGCTCGGCTGTCGCGTTCCTCTTCTTATGCTTGCCATGTGTTATACACATGTGACGACATTTTTCACACCTGAGAATGTTGTTTCATCCAATAATGTTATCGCAAAATTTACGGAGTCGAACAGAAGTCGGGGAATAATATTGAAGTACTTGGATAAATAACCAGGACAGTAAATGTTACGAAAGCGCAGTTTTGGCATTTATTTCCCGAATTTGCGGCAACAATGGAGTTTAATACGAGGAGTGATAAAAGTGACAAGTTACGATGATAAAGAATGTCGACGGAGTTTAAGTGATCCCTCGTGAAAATCTGTATTAAAAAATGAAGGGATTAGCGGTGGAAATTTTTCATCCTTCGCGGGAAATTTATTAAAAATTATCTGATATTGCATGAGGAAAAGATCTTGGGATGAATTTGATAAGGTCATTTAATGGGCTTAAAGGATTGAGGGTGTAGGATGAATGGTATTGAAATATTAATTAATATTAAAAGTGGAAGCTTGATTTAATAAAGCTTTTTTGGAACCACTTTGAGCCGCCTCGTTAGCCATTTCGAATTTTCTTTCTGGTATAAAGCATCTTTTTTGAGTGGAAAATTATTTATTTATAAGAAGAGTGAAGTAATTCAATACTAGGCTTTAAAGAAAAGAGGGTGCAGGATGAATGCTATTGAAATATTAATTAATATTGGACGTGGAACCGCAGTTGAACAAAGCTTTGAGCCGCTTCGTTAGCCATTTCGAATTTTCTTTCTGGTATAAAGCACCTTTTTTGATAGGAAAATTATTTATTTATAAAAAGAGTGAAGTAATTTAATACTAGGCTTTAAAGAAAAGAGGGTGCAGGATGAATGCTATTGAAATATTAATTAATATTGGACGTGGAACCGCAGCTAAACAAAGCTTTGAGCCGCCTCGTTAGCCATTTCGAATTTTCCTTCTTGTATAAAGTGCCTTTTTTGAGAAGAAAATTATTTATTTATAAGTGTGTAGTAATTGGATACGAAAAATTGAAAAGGAAGTGAATAGTTGGTTTCTTTTAAAATACTTTGATGTTTAATTACGCGTTGCTGAGGGTATCTAATGGAAATTGAAGGACAAACCTGCATCTGCATATATGTACCGTGTACTTTTACTTAAAATTTGTTAATTTTATCCGCAAAATCCGAGTTAACCCGTTCCAAATTCGCAATAATAATTCTCACGCGAATGGCCGAGTCCACGTGGCGAAGAGAGACGCGAAGCATTAAGTTGGCTGAAAATTGGCAAACCGGAGGAAATACATTTCCTCGTTACATCACGCTGTCTTGTTTCGCATATTAAACATAGTTTACTTGCAGGCATTTCTTGTTCAGGAAACGTTAATATTCAGAATATGAGTTTCTCGAGCTTATTCAACGATAATTATGTTAATCGAAACTTCAGTAATCACACAAAACCCTCAAAATGAAGTCTTCTTTATTTTTAACGCGCTGTTAAAATTACTTATATTCTTCATTAATGTTAAATCTTTTTTATAAAACAAATTTCTCGAGCGTATTCAATGAAAATTAGGTTAATCAAAACCAGGAATCACGTAAACCCTCAAAATGGAGTCTTCTTTATTTTTCATGCGTTGGGAAAGCTTCATGTCTGACATTTCCCATGTTCTTTTTGAAGATCTTTTTTTTTCAAGTCATTCTTCATATGTATCAAAATGTTGCAATATTTATAAAATATTTTGAAATTTTAAGAAAAGTTTTATACATATTTTCACATTTATATATATGTACAATGACCCTTTTATATCACCTTAAGTTATCCTACAAACGAGGCATTAAGAAAAAAGGGAAGAAAGCTTCATGCTTGACATTTCCTGCGTTCTTTTTTTTTTTCAAGTCATTCTATATATGTACCAAAATGTCACAATATTTATAAAATATTTTCACATTTTTATATATACATAGAATGACCCTTTCATATCACCTTAAGTTATTCTACAAACGAGGAATTAAAAAGAAGCGGAGGAAAGCTTCATGCCTGACATTTCCCGCGTTTTTTTTCAAGATCTTTTTCTTTTTTACTTTTAATGGACTCTCGTTTGGCTTTGATCTCCAGGAAATGGACGTTTCAGAATGAGCAGGACATAAGAAAACGCGCCACGGTCGCTATTCAGATATAGAACTTGCGTCTTCACGCCAAGTACACAACGCGCTCGTATACAACGGATATACTTCATTTATTTCCCGTCTGAAGTTGGCAAGCCGCCCTTCTTGCTAGCTCTTTTTCCTCTTTATACCGCGGGGATATTATTAGATATTGCACTGTTAAAAAATTCATAAAATTCAATGCACTTTTAGTACACAAGGTTGCAGCACAATTATAAACTCGACGTCTTAACAGTGAATCAGTATATTGACACCGCAGTAAAAAATTCGATTCTAGGAATTGTTACAATGCTTGTATTTTTAAGAAAAGAATTTCCTAATAACCTGGGAATTTCCATGAAAAAAAGTGGAGCAGAAAAACATCGCCCGGAATAGTCGTAGATGTGAGAATAGTAGATATTGTCACGTTCATTATTTATTCGATCGAGATAAATCCTTATCATCTCCGATAAGAGCCCCTACGAAATTTCTCAATACGTGAAAGCAGTAAACTACACATTTCTTAACAATTGCTCCTCCCTGAAAAATATTTTATTATTTAGGTAATTAACAAATTATACGAAGGAGTAATTTGTTTGGAAATCATTTCTCTTTGGAAAAGGCGTTAATTTTCTTGATTTGAACAATTCTAATGAAGTCGATAAAAAGTGTTAAGGAATTCAAAGGCGAACGGTCGTTTATCTTTTTTATTTCTTTGTCGCAAGGCAGGTGCGTAGATTGCGCAACATTTGGATGAGGCACTGTGAGTCTTTAGTAGAAATTAAGCAGGAATAAAGAAAGGTCTCTTTTGAACGTTTCGATTCGTCGAATCGCTATATTTTTCTTACCCGAGGCATAACATTTGTTGCGACCTTCGGTCTACGTTGGAAGCGTGATTTCGAATGATTGCGACACGAGTCGAAACAATTTATCCTCAATTAGGTATGGCCTCGATTCTCGGCCGTACGAAAATTTCTAAGGCACGCGGTATTAATTACGTTGAGGCGATGTCTCTTGACAACGACAATAATCACCTCTTGCCACTCGTGGGAAATTCTATCGTCCCTGAGTCCCTGAGAAGCTTGAGGAACGTTCGCGATTTCCTCGCGAAATGTCTGCCAGAAATAATCGTTTCAATTATCTTAAATTGAGATGTGCTCGTAAACCGCAATTACGTACACTTTTACGCACAATTAATACCGAGAAGCGGTATTTTGTGAGGTTCTGCATTTCCTTGCAAGAAAAATTGCGTCCATGCGGAGCCATGTGGTGGTTAGCGTCGCGTCCCCTCCTCCCTTAGCAACGGTTGCCAAGGTAATCGTAGCCATAGACGCGGTCTCCATGGCAACGAATTAGCGTCATGGCATAGATTTCGGAAATGCCTGCACTTTTATCGTTATTTATTAACGCTGTGTTATCAAAATTAACTCGTTTCGTAATGTAAGATAGTAGTTTCAACAACGTGTGTATAAAATTACAAGGGTTCCATATATAAATGTTAAACCTCTGAAGAATGAAGTAACGATACATGATTTTGTAATTATTATAGTTTAAAGCGTCATTAACGATTTTAATATCATTTGCCGATAAGATTTGTTTGTTCAACTGTTTAATCGGTTTTCAAGCTTGGATGTCTCATCTGAAACAATTTGTTTTAAAATAATCGGTGTTTAATGATATTTTATTACATAATCGTAGAAGAACGAGGTGGTACCCTTTAAGATATCATTTTATAAATATCAATTTAGTGACACGTTCAACAATTAAATCTATTTCAGAACTTAGATTTAAACGCTTTGTTGTGGTTTTATTTATTCTTCCGCGTTATCGTAAAATTCACGTGACAAGCACGTTTAGTGTAACGCCGCGGAACGAGTCATACAATCGGCCTTCAATTTGATTTGCTTCTCTGTCGACACTCGGATAATGAAGCTTTGCTAATCGCACTTACCTTTACAGAGATAATTGAGTTGGCGAGACCGAGAGAACTCTCGGTCGAAGTGATTAGGAAGTCCCTGATTCGGCATTTCCGTTGGAGCCATGACAGAGGTCGCTTCGTGGTTGGTTCTTTCCCTTGTGCTGACCTGTCATGGCTTCGTTACCCGTGACGTCACCAAACAGCAACAAGCTAATTTGTTCGAATTATCGGTCATACATCTCAATGATTTTCACGCAAGGTAAAACAATTAAATTAACGTTATATCGTCCATTAGTTTTCGATATTTATTATATTATACAGAGTGTTCCATTTTTAATTATTTATAAGAATATTACATTACTTCTACGTATGAAATGTGTATTCCAATATTTCATATTTATTCAATACTTCATTAATTGGACATTGGGTTACATTGTTGCTCGCTCGAAAAATCTCCTGATTTATTGGATTGTTCCATAAGTCGCGGATAAATTTATTAAAGTTTAACAATTTACTTTTCTCTATGAAACGAACCAAGTATTAATTAATAATATATTTTCTGGCACAGCTGATTTCTTCTTGCCATCCTCCCAGAAATTTTATTTAAGTTTGTAATTATTTCTAAATTAAATTCGCTGCGAAAAACAAATTTGACCGTGAACATATGGAACTATATAAGACCTAATTGAGAAATCTAGGTTGCATTGGTTTCTTTTTGTCACCATGGCCTGCATTTGATTCGAGGACTGATGAATTATGTAAATGACGAAAAATCCCTGTCATTATCGAGACCTTGCTCTGATAATAAAACTCATCGGCATACTATGTCATTACAGTAACAATATAAAGAATTGTCGACTTACCTAACGATTTATTTCAATTTAATTACTTAAATACATGTTTTTATTTTCGCTGGTTTGTGGTATAACGTATATACAACGTGACATTTTTTATAAAAATTTTCTCCAATTTGGGTGCACCGAATCGTTTGAAACTTTAACACGTGATTATGGAGGCCCTAAGAAAGAACGCGATGCTGGTGAAATTTCATTTTTCACAAAAAAATGTCATTTTGGTTCTGGTCTACGGTAAATATACAAATTTTTTTGAAAAAAAAAAAAAATGTCACGAGCATCGCGTTCTTCCTTAGGGCCTCCATAATCACGTGTTAAAGTTTCAAATGATTCGGTGTACCCAGTTTATATATATATTTAATTTGTTAATATATATTTAAATGTCACAATATTTATAGATCATTTCACCTTACTCTGGTTTCTAGATTTATGCAGACGGGTCCTTCTTCTGGAACTTGTTACGAGGAGGTAAAAGATAAATGTCTCGGTGGGATCGCTCGTGTTTATACAGCCAGTCATCGTTTAATGAAAGAGAGGCGCAATGCAATTTTCTTGAACGCAGGAGACCAATTTCAAGGCACTCTTTGGTACACGTTACATAGATGGAACGTTACGGCGACATTTTTAAACATGTTGCCCCACGATGCTCTGGCAAGTTTTTAAATAAATTCCTCATTCTATTCTGAGATGATATGTGCCCATAATTATGAAAGTGGTCTAAGTCAAAATTAAAAAAAAAAACGAGTTTATCAGTTATTTCACGCCATATTATTTCAAACGAAATTAATTCAATGTAATTTCGAAACAAAAAATATATGACTTAGACCACTTTCATAATTATGGGCACATATGAAAGGCGCTCGATAAATTTAAATTCATCTATACCCTTTTCGGTGGGAACGTCATTTTGAATACTCAAGTGGGAACATAAGCTGGCGCGTCACGTTACCGTCATTTTTAGTTATGTTGATGTTTTTTTACAGTCTACGTTGATAATTATACGAACTGAAGCGTTCCATATATCATTTCCGTAAAGTAATGACGAAGAGATCGACTTAAAACTGTATAAATCCCGAAAATTCATTATTCTAACGACTGTTTAGGACCAACGTCGCCATCTGTGACGTTTAGCTGTAACTAAATTTTTTCTCTAAGAAAATTATTAATGGTGAACATGATTCCATTTTATCTTCCGCTACGAATAATCATCGCAATAATAGACTGTTAATTCCTCATTAAACGTGAATGTCGATTATTCAAGGATGCTATAACGCGTCTAAAATTAAATCCACGTGTCATTTATTCTCATAAAATGATCATGATTAATTGAGGCTCTCAATCGCATTGTTCCCATGACGCGCAACTAACAGCAATTGGTATGATTGTCAATGCTTAGAACATGTCCTAATTAATACGATTGACCTCATAATATCCCATACAATCAACATATGTGCCCATAATTATGAAAGTGGTCTAAGTCAAAATTAAAAAAAAAATGAGTTTATCAGTTATTTCACGCCATATTATTTCAAACGAAATTAATTCAATGTAATTTCGAAACAAAAAATATATGACTTAGGCCACTTTCATAATTATGGGCACATATAACTTGGCACAAGTTAATTAAAAAAAATAATCAATGATCGTTAATCTGTAAGAAATAATTACACCATACATTTTCCTCAATGATAATTCTCACGTTCCACTTGGATTTGTTTTTGCTGCATTTTCAATCAATGTCTGCGAATAAGTCTTAACTTTATCTCAACAATGACGATCATGTTCCTCCGATAATGACTTTTGCTACGATATTTATGACCGTCACGTGATTTCACGGCTTATCGGCACAGATTACGAAATGAAAACGCATTTCTGATATTATCGAGGATTAGATAATTACTCAGGGAAGTGCAACGGTTAGAGTAATTATTTATGAAAATAAAATCATTTTTCAGACTCTCGGCAATCATGAGTTCGATGATAAAATTCCTGGAGTGGTTCCGTTTTTAAAAATGATCGATGCTCCAGTTGTGGTGGCAAATATTGATGCAACTGATGAACCAGATATGAAGGTAAACCAAAATGGAAATTTTTAAATAGTATATTAAAGTATATAAAAATTCGTGCAAAATTACATTCGATTTAGTATTTTATACTTATTCTGTAAATTCATCATACTATTAAGGTGAAATAAAACACGTCGAGGAACTTGATCGACGTTGGTAAAAAAGGTTTTTCCTAATAGGTATCGCACTTTCATGTCACCTTAACAAATTAAAGAAATAATGTTTAATAATAATTTTCAGGGCTTGTACAAGAATAGTACGGTTCTTGAAAGAGGTGGCAGGAAAATCGGCGTAATTGGTGCCATCATCTCATCTACTGATGTTAGGAAAGAAAATTAATTATAATTAATTATAATCCCTGCAAACTTATCCGGCATTTAAAATTGACTTTGTCATTTATTTGCAGACTCTCTCCAGTAGTGGCAAATTAAAATTCCTCGACGAAGTAGAGAGCATCAACGAGGAGGCTAAAAAATTGAAAGATCGAGGAGTGGATATTATCGTGGTCTTGGATCATTGTGGCTTGGAGATTGACAGAATCATCGCTAAAAAATGTCCGGACGTTGACCTAATCGTTGGAGGACATTCCCACACCTTTCTGTATTCAGGTTTCCTTCCAGACATAATATAAAGATTAACTCTTTGGCTACTAAGAGCGCCTAAAGGCGCCCGACGTTTGGTCCAATATTGCCTGCACGGTCAGAGGAATTTCGCCCATATGTCGAAGTGGCTCCGCGTTCAAAGGGTTAACTATCATCAGAGAGAAATATGTTATAAATTCCAAATTTAATTTTCGCGAGAAGAATTGAAGGATTAAATTTAAGTTTCTCCTCGAGGGATTTTTATTAATATTTTTTAAGTCAACGGCACGTGGAAATTTAAAACAAAAACCAGTCATTACTTCCAGATTTTATTATTTAACTGTTTAATGTTAGTAAATGATTCGTAGAACTTTGAGGAAGAGGAATAAGTTGTAAATAATATTTTTAAGAGAAGAAAAAAAAGAATTGAAGGATCAAACGAAACATTTAGGCTCCTTCTTGGGGCACCTGCACTTGCACCTGCACCTGCAGGTCTCTCGGTAATTAATCCAGCCGCATGACGCGTCAAACTTTCAGTTGGCAAGGTGAAATTATTTTCGATTCGTAATTCATGAAAGGATCCTTCAATCGCTTTTAATAATTATTTCCTCTCGCGCCTCTCTTATATCGATTTCCATCCGGCATGATACCGAGCGATCCCGATCGACTTTAATTATCATACTGGAAATTAATAAGAGGTGTGTATTAAAATAATTGCATTGCTGATTTTCAGGTACACCACCTCTCAACGATGTCCCAGAAGACGAGTACCCGGTCGTTGTGCAACAAGAAACAACCAATAGAACAGTCTTGATCGTTCAAGCTTCTGCTTTTACCAGGTAACTTTATATTTTTTTAAATAATAAATATATTTTACATAACATTTTCCACCCTCTGTGATTTGCATAGATCGTAAGTTAAAACAATTGCAGTGATCTCATAAAATTAAAACTTTAACATAAACTTTTAACTGCATTTTAAACACCTTCGTTTTGCAATTTCTTTCAAGTATTTAGGAAATTTGCATAAATGCAGTCGCTTGGTCGATTTAAATGTTTGTATTTGCATTGAAACAATAAATAGTCAATATAATAATAGAACAGTCTTGATCGTTCAGGCTTCTGCTTTTACCAGGTAACTTTACATTTTTTTAAATACTAAATATATTTTCCATAACATTTTCTACCCATTGTGATTTGCATAGATCGTGAGTTAAAACAATTGCAGTGCTCTTATATAATTAAAACTTTAACATAAATTTTCAACTATTCTGAGATGATATGTGCCCATAATTATGAAAGTGGTCTAAGTCAAAATTAAAAAAAAAATGAGTTTATCAGTTATTTCACGCCATATTATTTCAAACGAAATTAATTCAATGTAATTTCGAAACAAAAAATATATGACTTAGACCACTTTCATAATTATGGGCACATATA